ATCCGGTTTGATTTTTAAAACAATGGTTTAAAATAATAATTAAAACTAAAATGCTCTAATTCACACCACTGACAAATAATATTAAATTATTTTATTATAACCTTCATTAATTTGAACTTTTCAATAACTGCTTGAAATCGTTCAATTTCATCACTGTCAAGTTTTGTTTCCCAATTGATAGTTATTACTTCAACTTGTACCCTTAACTCTAGAGGAAGACATTGATAATTTATATTAGTGTCTATGGCAACTCAATCTATAATTAGACTTGCAAAACAAAAACAAAGGAAATGAAATAAAAAGAAAAGAAAAGAAAATGTTCAAATTAAATTTAGTATTAATCAACTTCGATATTAATTAAATTCAACAATCCCCAGCAATAGCGCTAAAAACTTGATGCACTAAATCACTCTAGTAAGTGTACTAGTCACTCCAAGTAATATAATGATGAGAAGAGTGTTGAATCCATGAGAACTATGATTAACTAAGTACCAAAAATAATTAATTTAAATTTATTTGAACAATTGAAAAGGAAGAAACTTTAATTAAAAAAATAAAAAGAAAATTACAATTAAAATAAAATTAACCAAGATATAAGGTATAAGGCATTGACTTCACGATTTGATTAATATGCTTTCAAAATTAATTTGTTGAGTGTTATTGTATGTGATGGTGGACTCTCCTAAATTAATTAACTAGCTTTCTTAAGTCAAGTTAATTCTTCACCTATTTGTTAAATTAGTTATATCTTCACCTATTTGTTAAATTAGTTATATCTCTATATAATTTAAAACAAACTGCTAAACATTAAATTCTATGAAAACCTTTAACTTAAAAAGGGGGAGCTCCTAACTCTTTTCTTTTCCTACACTATTAAATATGACACTAATTATCTATATGTCTCATAGTCTAACACATGGTATATATTATTATTAGTCTAATTTTCACAATTCTTTCTCAAGTTCATGCATAAATCACTAAATCAATTGAAATGTTATCAGACTTCTAATGCATTAAGTTCAATAATATAAACTTATTATGTGAATAACTTTAATTGGAAGTATAAAAATCACAAAATCTATATTAAATTGAGTAAGCTATATTATAGCCTTCGTAGACTAAATTAGTTCATGATAAAAATAAGGTTAAATGCTAATTTTGGTCCCTCAACTTTATAGAGTTGCACAATTTTCATCCCTCAATTTTTTTTTGCACTTTTTTGATCCCTCAACTCTAAAAAACTGCACAATTTTTATTTTCTGTCAATTAAGTATGACGTACCCGTTAAATAATTCCATAATGGCATTTTCTTGGCAATGACATGTCTTACAATTAAATTACGTGGACAAATAAACATGCCACATTAGATAAATATTTATATTTTTATTAAAAATACAATTATGTTATTACCCCTCTCCCTTTTATTCCATCTTCTTCCCCTCTTTCTTTCTCTTTCTTTGTCTTTCCTACTACTGGGTTTGGTGGAACCCAGCTGTTGGGTTCGGTGGATGATATCAAAGAAATATAAATGAAAAACAATAAGAAAGATCTATAAAAGAAAGAAAAATCCTCGATATATATTCCTTAATAAATCTGGATTACAGAGAGAAATGAGAGATATAAAAGGTTCAAGGAAGAAACCAGAATATTCTTATACCCACAATTAGAAATCACAGCATACATATATTGATGCTGTATGATTCTTGGCTACAAGACAAAATAGCCCAATGGAGAAATGCAAGAAAATTGAAGGAAATAATATAATGAATTCATGGTTGCTATCTGTCCTACACAACTCAGATATCTATTCAGAACTCTTGAATTGCCGATTCAATTTATTAGTTTTGTTTTTCTTCATATCAGTCAAACCTAGATTAGATTTGGGTTCCATCGAACCTAGCAATAGGAGGAGGAAGAAAGAGAAAGCAAGAAAGGGAAGAAGAGAAAGAAGGGGAAGAAGATAGGTTGAAAGGGTTTTTTTTTAAAAAAATTTTTATTAAAAATATAAAGATTTATTTGATGTGGTATTTTATTTATCCATGTAATCTCATTGTAGGACATGTCATTGCCACATCATAAAAAAATTAAAAGAAAATGCCACTATGGAATTATTTAACAGCCACGTCGTGGTTAACTGACGGAGGGATCAAAAAAGTGCAAAAAATAATTGAAGGATGAAAATTGTGCAACTCTCTAAAGATGAGGGACCAAAATTAGCATTTAACCTAAAAATAATAAAACTTAAAATCATAGTTATGAAGACAAGAATGTCAAACAATAGATGAAAATAATTTAAGGAAAAACAAAACTCAATTTAAAGAAATTGAAATCCTTGATATTGTTGATAAATCCTCTATCTTCATCTCTAAGAGTGCTCAAAAAGGAGTCCATGTAATCTCATTGTAGGACATGTCATTGCCACATCATAAAAAAAATAAAAAGAAAATGCCACTATAGAATTATTTAACAGTCACGTCGTGGTTAACTGACGGAGGGATAAAAAAAGTGCAAAAAATAATTGAGGGATGAAAATTGTACAACTCTCTAAAGTTGAGGGACCAAAATTAGCATTTAACCTAAAAATAATAAAACTTAAAATCATAGTTATGAATACAAGAATGTCAAACAATAGATGAAAATAATTTAAGGAAAAACAAAACTTAATTTAAAGAAATTGAAATCCTTGATATTGTTGATAAATCCTTTATCTTTATCTCTATCTCTAAGAGTGCTCAAAAGGGAGCTGTCACTAGCCTCCAAAAAAATCCTCAATTTTGGACTTATATGAATATTTATAGGATTTTAGATAACCTAATTAGAATAGAAGTAGAACCCATACCAAAATAATGTTAAGCCAGTCATGGACTTACTTAAATCACATAAGGGGTCAACACCCTTAACAACGTACCGACACCTTTAGTCAAGCACGGAATCAAAACTGTGTCGGGTTTTTTGCCTTCAAAGCAATTTTTGTTAATGAAAAAATAGCAATCCTAGTCCCTTACTTTTGGATTCCGCGCAAGTTAATACTCATGTTTTTTATACCTACAATTTTCTTTTAAAAATTATGATTTCTTTCAATTAAGTCCGGTTGGAGCCGGCTTTGCGTCTTTTCTCCACGCGCGCCAAACAATGGTTTTCAAATTTTTGCCTGTAGAGCTAGCTGCAACTTTCAGAACCAGCTCTCTGCACTTCCATTTCACCAGAGCCGGCTGCAGCTTTTAAGAGCTGGCTCTCTGCACATTTTGAATCCTTTTGGTCTATTTTTAATGCAATCCAAGTTTACTTGCAATCTTTTAGCAACTTAACTACACACTTAAATAAAGCAATTAGTCATTCAAATGTGTTTTGTAATCATCAAAATCATAGGTACAACATAAAGGATTTGCTAGAAATGCAACTAGAAAACCATAAAAACAACTCCAAAATGAGATAATCAAATAAGAGAAAGTCCAGATGAGATATTTAGGTTATGCACTAACCCTCAAACTTCTTTGCACTAAGAGCTTCAAACGAGCACTCCAGTGTTGACAATGGTGAGATCTGCAAAAATCACTCATGTTAGTCAGACTTAAATGCACCAAGGCAACGTAAACTAGAAAACAATCAACTTTCTTCTCAGATTCTTTCTAGTATGACGGCCCTCCATGCTGTTATTTACGTTACCACCCTCTTAGTGCATCTCTGTCACCAAACCACTATGTTAGGAACTGAGCAAAGGAAAAAATCCCTATGTGCAATAGAGCACTACAAGAAAATTATACCAAATTTTACAAGGTATTGAAACAATTCTCTCTCGAACGAAACAGACTTGAGTAAATGTCACAACTCACAAAGCGGTTATTAAGAGATGTGGGTACCATCAAGACGTGGGTGCCAAATGTTTGTAGATGGGTTGAAGCACCCCTTGTGCTTCATTAACTAAAAATTTTATTTGGCCGATCCAAAAAAAAAAAACAAAGCGGTTATTAAGAAAAGAAAATTTTATTCTCAACATTATCATACCATGTACATCTTCTTGCCCTACTCGATTGATCCCACTTAGGACCTTATAGGCCTCAGCATGCACAGCATCCACTCTGACAGAGTAAATTTTCACGCCGGCTTCCAGCGTGCAA